CTCATTCTAGAGCAACTATAAACTTTAACAATTAGGTTCCTGACACTGAATTACTGTTGGACATAATTAGAATGGAAGCTATGGTCGATAACAAATTAAAATTGACCAATTCTCAACAATTTACGAGCTCCACTACTACTATATCCTCTAACCATCATCCCACCCTCATTCTAGAGCAACTATAAACCTCACAAATTGAGCTCCTGATATTTTATTACCCCTGAACATCAGAACAATGCAATCAATCGTCAATAATAAATTCAAAGCGATCATTTCTCCATTGTTTACAGGTTACACTACTGCTATATTCCCTAATCACTATCCCATCCTCATTCTAGAGCAACTATAAACGTCAGCAATTAAATTCCTGACATTTTATTGCACTTGGACATCACAAGAATGCACATAATTGGCGATAGTAAATTAAAAATGACTATTTCTTTATTGTTCACAGGTTCCACCCTCATTCTAGAGCAACTATAAACTTTAACAATTAGGTTCCTGACACTAAATTACTGTTGGACATCATTAGAATGGAAGCTATGGTCGATAACAAATTAAAATTGACCATTTCTCAACAATTTTCAAGCTCCACTACTACTATATCCTCTAACCACCATCCCACCATCATTCTAGAGCAACTATAAACCTCACAAATTCAACTCCTGATATTTGATTACTCTTGAACATTACAAGAATGCAATAAATCGTCAATAATAAATGAAAATAGCAACTTTGTCTACAATTTATAGATCCCAGCCTCGTTCTAGAGCAACTATAACTCTCGAACACGACACAGCGAGTCTCTACCAACGATGTGGCTCCCTCGATACATCTTGTGCCTTTTGCACACCGTCCACCAATCAGAGGGGGGGGGGGGGGGCGTCGTATATATTAATCATCGTGTACAGGAAATTAACTTGGCCTTGTTTTATCTTGCATTCTGATGACTGCATCTGAGTACCGCGAGAAATACAACGCTCCTAGTGTGTATTAATTAAGTATGCGCGACTCGGTACACGCCAAGGAAACGATCAAGGATGTACTTTTACATCCATGTGCTTCATGGCGGATGTCCCGATATTGGTCACTTTAACCATTTTATTTCTCTAGAATGTTGTACTATATTAGAGCAGTGATATTGTGCTCTATTCAACTGTAGTAATTATCGTTGGTACTCGATGTAGTAATCTATTGTTCTATAATGTTGTACTGTGTTTGAGATCATGGGTACAGCTCTATTTTTAGAGCTTCATCTTTAGAGGTTTATTGTAGAGCTCTATTTTTAGAGGTCCATGAATCTTAGAGTTCTGTTATTGTTAGAGTTCTATTTTCAGAGCTCCATTATAGTTAGAGTTCTATTTTTAGAGCTTTATTTTTAGAGCTCTATCATTGCTAGA